CCAGCGAAGCCCTATCTACTCTTTGTATTTGCATTGTCGGCTCAGTTGCGAGCACATCCAATGGCACCGAAGTTCTTTTTCCCCCAGCCACTCGTGGCTTTTGTGGGCCCAAGACTGATGTAACCCTGGGTGTTTGAGTGCCACAGTCAGGTGTGACTCTCACACAACCACCGGTGACGATGTCTATCTTCACGGCACTCGATGNAAAGGTTACCAACAGAGGCCTTGGTCCAACTGCTTTAACGCTTTTCCATACTCCAATGCGGTGGCATTTGACAATTGGAGTGCTTGTTGGTATCCCAATCATCCTGAATATGTCGTGGAGGCTGCGCCTTTCAGCTTCCTTTCTCGCCCTGCTTTCACGAATATATGGCTCCCTCAAATTATGGAAGATTAGGTTCCGCGTCCTGTCTAACATCATTTGATTGGAATTTTTCACTATGGGTAGCTCCCTTTCTAGAACGTCCATTCGCGAAATTAGGGCTGCCAGCTCTCCAGACGCTTTATCTTCCTTTACAGCAGTCTGTTTCTGTTTCGTATTCCACCTAATTTCTACCGACTCTTCCGCTTTAACACTGATGCTGTGTTTACCATTCTTCTTTTCCGACGTATTTTTTCTCTTTAGTTGCATCTTAGGGTTTAATCCCTCAGCAGCAATCACACCCTGTACCAAGCGAGAGCACACTAGCTCAAATGCCTCGCACGGGTCAAGTACTCATTTCACATTGTTCAGAAGGTGTATCAGGTACCATCTTTGCTAAAAGTGAGCAATTTTGATGGTATCTTTTTGCAACCTATTGCACTGAATGCCGTCCGCTACATACGGATTGCAACTAGTGCCACCATAATGACTTTTGCTCTGTGAGGAAATCGTTGACAAACGCGCGAAAATTTCAGAAGCGGCCGGGAGAAACGGACGCACGGGGAAATTAGGTAAAACAGCTTTCAGAACACAACCATAAAAAAACAAAAAACGAATTAACTACAACTTTCGTGAACCGCTAAAGAGTTCAACAATTGGAAAAGTAAGCACTAAAACGTTTAGCGCTAAAAGCGCGAAAGATCAATAGATATTTCACTATTATTCAACCAAAAATTTATATACCGAGAGCAATTCGAAAATTCAAACCACGAGCGAACGTACCGCAAGGTCAAGGAGGGTAGATGAAGTCAAGCAGGATACAGGTAATACAGAGACATTTAAAGTTCAGTGAGGAATAGAAAGATCGGAGTTGAATAGGTGACATCCCTTGTTACAGGGATTCACCGAAATAGGGTCGGGTCTACTTCTCGAGCTTTGAGACTCTCGAAGTGTTCTGTATATTTGACGAGTTTTTCAATCTGAAGCCAGCAAGTTTCTGCGGTACTGCAATAATAAACGATCAGATAAACAAATAAAAGCTGTACAAACTTCAGAATGATGTCGAAACAATTTGAAAACACGAGCCAGGTGTGACTGTGAGCTTAATTTAACAAATCGGAACGGAAGATAATGAATCTGAACAAGAACAGCACGCTCACCGTCACGCTGCGCACCAACGAACCGAATGCCAGCGCTCAGGTCGCGATCGAACCAAGGAGGGTACGAATGAAGCAGATAGATAAACAAATTCAAATGGTAGGATCGACGTGTAAATAGACAAACGGAGTGCAACGTCAAATGTCTATATATGTATGAGGCGGATGGTTTTAGGTGATGGAACGTAAAATTGACGAAATATGGAACCGACATAGACTGACTGGGCTTTACAGAAAGGATTTTCACAGATCGATCAATACACCGCCCGGCAAAATGTTTACTCGCGTCACACGGTGAAAAGAAAACTCAAGGGAGTACCAATCCTCCACCCAACTACCTAATCCCTACAGTCTTTCTGCCATTCTATCAAGCCTTTGGTTGTCCTGTCCGTCTCCGCAGGCTCAGGAGGCTAGTCGGAATCCGTTTTTCATAACTCATAGTTCCTACCTCGTCAACCCGGAGGATTCCTCAGCTGCTTGGGTTTCCGGTCGATTCTGCTTTTTTTCCCTATAGGTAGCGGATTTGGCGGATATCTCACAGGGTTTCACTGGCTGCGGTTTTTCCTATAACCGTGCGTACGAGCCCATTCTCGTCCGTGAGGCATTCTTTGATGATCGCCAGGGTCATTCAACTCATTGTAATCGTTCATCTGCAAGCAGTACTATTTCACCAACTGGAAAGTTTCTTTCTTTGAGGAACCATTTCTGGTGTGCTCGTACGATAGGTAAGTACTCTCGGATCCACCGCTTCCAGAAAACTCCCACTAGGTTGGTGGCCTGTGTCCAGTTGCCCGAGTAATATTTCGTGATAGTTCGTGGTACCGTCAGTCCGTGATTTGATCTCAAAAGTATTCAGTCGTTCGGCGTAAGCGCGAAACCTGGGGCTTCACTTGCGACTGGTGTCAAGGGCCTATTGTTCAATATGCGCTCCACCTCGGTTAGGGCCGTGTTCAGGGTCTCATCGTCGATGGACTGTTGGTTGCATGCAGCCAATAGGATCCTTCTCACCGACCTTATCATCCGTTCCCAAGCCCAGCCTCTATGGCAAGCGTACGGCGGGTTGAAGTGCCATTGGATAGTTTGGGATGTCAGTCGCTTGTGCAGTTCACTCTGGTCAACTCGGGACAGCCACCTTTGCTGCTCGTTCGACGCACACGAAGTTTGAACCGTTGTCGGAGTAAATGTTGTTCGGAGCTCCGCGCCTGCCAATCAGCCTTTGGAGTGCCATCGGGAACGATTCAGTAGACATACTGTGTACCATCTCCAAATGCACCGTACGAGACTGCATGCAGGTAAACAGACACCTGTACCGATTCGCTATCAATCTCCCGCACTTCATCAGCATGGGGCCGAAATAATCCACTATTGTCTCCGCGAAAGGCCCCACCCTTTTGAACCCTAAATTCGTGTAGGGTGCCATCAGCTGCATTCCAGTTACCGCGTTTTGGCATCAACAGAACATACATCTACCGATGATCCCCTTTGTTTCGGTTCTACCACGTGTTATCCAAAATCTCTCCCGAATGACGCTCAGTCAGTGGTTATTTCCCACGTGCACGTTTTCAACGTGGTGGCGTATAAGCGAGGTGATGACAAGGCTATCGGCTGGCAGAATGATAGGATATCTAGCGTTGAAGGCCAAGTAAGAATTGTCTAGTTTCCCCCACACGCGTAGCAACCGTCGTCATTACCCGTTTAGATTCTATCAACTCAACGGGCGCGGGAGGTGCAAGCACTGTACTCTCGTCCTTTGATGCAGCGGTCGGGAAGGCGAGCAGCCCAGCCAATCGCGTAGCTTGTCCAATGATTTCAAGCCTTGGGAGCAGTGGTCAGCTGGGTTATCCGCAGATTTGACGTACCGCCATTGATGCACCTTGGTCTCTTCGTGCAATACCGTCAGTCGGTTGGATACAAAGGTGCTGAACCTCGTGCTGACATTGTTCACATAGTGTATTACAATGGCGGAGTCGCTCCAGAACGTGACACGGTCTTCGAATATACGGAAGCACTGTCGCAACTGCTTGGCTATAGGCACCGCTAGCATGGTCGCGGTCAGTTCTAGGCAGGGTATCGAAACGCATTTCAGTGGGGCGACCCGGGATTTGGCAAAAGGTAACTCCGTCTTNCTCACCATTCAGGTGCTGTCAACGTACGTAGGCTACTGCTCCGTATCCCGTTTCAGACACGTCGGCGAACAGGTGCAGTTCGCCCTTCGTCGCTTGACTGCTCTGGCTGAGTCGGCGCAGAATCCGTATTTCACCTGGCCTACTGAGGCTGATCAACCATTGCTCCTAATCTGTCAGGTCCTGCTGGTCTAAGGCTTGATCCCACTCTGTCCTTTTTCGACAAAGTTGTTGAAGGAGGACTTTACCCGGAAACAACCACGGCGCGACAAACCCGAGCGGGTGGCATAAGCTGGATATAGACGATAGCATCCCTCGTCGGGTGGGATTCCTCTCGGGTAGCTTTAGTTGAAAGACGAACTCGTCTGACTCCGCGCCCCATCGCACCCCAGGGTTGGCTCAATAGGGAGCGGCTGCGTGGTCAGGTTGAGATCCCCACTAACCCTGTCAGTTTCGGGAACGTTGTCCAAGACTAAACGTGAGTCAGACAACCATTTGGTTAAACAGAAACCTTTCTCCAGTAAGTGCTTTAGCTGCATTACGTGTTGCGAGGCTTCTCTTGCGTTGTCAAAGGCGCCCAGGAAGTCGTAAACTTAGACATTATTCGCAACGCTAGGTGACACCGAGGCCGGGAAGTTGTTTCTATATTGCGAAGCTGTGAACACAACTGCCGCATCAGTATGTGTCACAAATAGAGAAGAAGCTATTGGTGCCTATTGGTGGAAATTCCGGTCGGGGTGGGTAATTTGGGTGCTGTAGTCTGAGAAGACATTCACCATGGGTGTTCAAATCCACTTCCTGAGTTTTTGGACTGAAGAGGTGTTATAGGGATAAGCATAGAGTAAGGCGTACATGGTTTTGATTTTCAGGTGAATATAACTTTTGTTGTGGATATCTAATAATCGGATACATTTCCAAAAGCAGTTGAGATGTAAAGATTATTGTTTTTTTAGGTATGTGGCGTTTTCGACGCTGAGATAGCGGGTAATTAATGCCTTGAATTGAAAGTGAGAATTACAGTTGATTAAATGCAGGTGGGTGGGTAATCTGTTCCATAATCGAGCATATTTTATGATAAACAAGTCAGTTCTGAGTGCTGTACTGGATTTTGAGATAATGAGGTGAGAGTTATTGTGACGTAGGTAGTAGGTGGTACATGTAGATAGGCGTTGGAAATCAGAGGGAAGCCTTGTGTTATGCCGGTGAAAGAATCAGAGATTAAGTGTCATGCGCCGAAGCCACAGGGGCTCGCCTGTGAGTACTGTGTAAAGTTCCTGGTAAATCATTTGGGTCGAGAAGCCTAGTAATTGTTCGGTGAAATGGCGTTGGACATTTTTCATTATTGACTTGTCAGTTCTACGGATATTTGTGAAGATTATGGGACAGTTTTCGAGAGAGGGTCTTACGAATGATAGGTAAGATGAGTTTAGCCTCGAGTAGGATAAGACACTTTGTGAGAAAGCCGATAGTTTTTCGTGTCCTGTCAACGTACAAAACGAGGACGTGGGAACTAACCATCTGTTGAACGTCATTTGTGAGAGGTTTCGGATATCACGCTGTAGGACCTTAATAAAGAGACGATCAGTGATATATGTATTGTCGCCGTCAAAGTGCCGTAGCCGGAAGGCAACTGGTGGCCTCCCTACTCGAATTCAAGTTCCGATCGGGTTGACGGCCTTTCACGGAGACGGAAGTGGACTACTTCCGGCCCTTGGTAGTGAAGTATGGGCGATCAGTCGCGACGCGATTGGGGTGTCCATTCCCTGCATGCAGTCTCACGGGGTGCATTTGGAGATGGTGCATATTATGTCTAGTGGATCGTTCCTCATGGTGTTTCAAAGGCTGATCAGCAGACGTGGAGTCCCGAACAACATCTACTCAGGCAACGCTTCAGACATCGTGGGCGCATCTAATGAGCTGCAAAGATAGCTGTACCGAGTCAACCAGGGTAAACTGCTTAAGCGAGTGGCCTCCTAAAGTATCGTTTGGTACTTCAACTCTCCACAGACCGGACACAAGGGTGGGGTTTAAGAAAGTATGATAAGGTCGGTGAGAAGAATCCTGTTGGCGGTGTCCAATCAACAGTCTATAGACGATGAAACCCTGAGGACAGCCCCAATCGAGGTAGAGCGCACACTGAACAAAAGACCCTTGACACTAGTTAAGAATGGAGCCCCGGGTTTCGTGCTTATGCTAAAAGACTTGCTACTTTTGAGACCAAATAACAGACTGGCAGTACCCCGATGAATTATAAAATATTATTCGAGCGACTGGAGGCAAGAAACCTACCTATTTGGAGTTTTAGGGAAGCTGTGGGTCCGAGAGTATTTGCCTACGCTATAGGCACGCCAGAAATGGATACTNTCCCGGATGAGGACGAGCACGTAAGTACGGCTAAATTGAAAACGGTAGCCGGCAAAACCCTGTGAGATATCCACCAAATCTGCTACCTTGAGGAAAAAGAGGCAGAACAGCCCGAGGTCTCAGGTTGATGAGGAATTCTCCGGGTTGGCGAGTTAGAAACTATGAGTCATTGAAAACGGATTTCGGTTAGCCTCCTGAGCTGCCGGAGACCAAGAACGGCGAGAGGCACAGTAGAGTGACACAACAACCGTTAGGGTTGCGTAGTTACGGTGAGAATCGGTACTCCCCTGAATTCCCCTTTGAATATGTGACACGAGGACGGATTTTGCCGGGCGGTGTATTGATCGATCTGTGAAAATCCTTTCTGTAATGCCCAGTCAATCTATCTCGGTTCTACATTTCGTTACTTTCACGTTTCATTACCTGAAAACATCTGCCTCATATATACGTACACACGTGAGTTTCCACTCCCTTACGGATGAAGTCACCACGAGAATGGATAAGTTAAGGAAAGTAGAAGCATGCTATCTTTACTTTAGTAAAATATTTGACTTAGTGCGTCATTGCTTACTTCTCTAAGGACAAAAGGTTACATCCACAAGTGGTCAAAGGCTTTCATGGTCGATCGGATTTTCCATTTTCGGGCCAAAGAAGTGAAATCATCAGTGGAAACCATTGCTAGTGGAGTGCCACAAGGGTCGGTCTTAGGTCCACTCCCATGTTTGCTCTACATTGATAACCTTCCTGAACGCCCTGGCTTGCTCAGCTTTACACTTGCGGACAGTATCAAAGTTGTAAAATCTAATGCGAGAGCGGAATTAGGCTACGGTCATGGAAAAGGTGTTCAAGCGATCAAGTACATGGGATCTACCTCTCACAATAGGAAAAAGCCATGTCTTGACCACTGGAGATGAACAGCTGATCGTGGGGAGTTGTCAGGGCAACCGTTCACTAGGAACGACACAGAAGGATAGAAATTTAGAAATCATAGTGACAGCATAATTCAAATGGGCAGAAAAGTGTTCCTCAGCCTCGCATCGCTCCCATACAGAGTCTATTAGGCTACGGTCGGCACTAGCATGCAGGAACCCGGAGGTTTTCTTACCTCTATACAAAGCAGTTTTTGACCGCATCTAAAGTATTGCATGCAAGCCTGGGCTCCCTTCTTTAAACAGGACGCAGTTTTTCTTGAGGGGGTCCAACGATTAGCCACAAACATGATTAAAGGACAGCGATGATGCCGCATGGGCAGAGACTGCGGGAAATATATATAATAACAGTAGTTCAAAAAAGAACCTCAATTACAACTGACTGAGATTCAAGAACAGTCAACGTTGAGGTACTTCATACAGCTTTGTGGTCAGTTGATAGTAATCCAAGCTTAACTCATAAGCTGTGAAAACGCTTATGTGGTCACCTGATAGATTGATGAGTAACGGGACACTAAGGCAGTGATTGGGGGGCTATTTCGAGCTGAAATATTGATTTGATCGAGCAGATGCTTCCAGGTAGCCGGTTCCATAACTTGAAGTAGATAACTAAGAAGAATTTGGGTCTGATTGAGAGTTTAGTTAGAGGCATGTTGACCGTATAACCAAGATGACGAAGTTGATAAAGCCTATTTAATGGGATGCAGAGCTGGGAGATCAACAAGGCATGATTGTGTATTAATTTGGATAGGAAACAAAGGTTGAGTTTCGTCCGTCACAGCCACAGAGGTTCCACCTTGAGATGTAGACAGCGTTGCATGTATTTCAGTGAGGTATGATGGCCGAGTAACTGTCTCGTAAAGCGCCGCTGGATTTTCTCTACAGCTATTTAATTAGCTTTGGACATATTTGGGAAGACGATATTAAATTACTCTATCTGGGGCCTGACATGCCACTTGTAAATAACTAATTTGCTAGCGGGAAAACGCAAAGACTTGTTAATTGGTCCTACGTTCCTATCGGCTTTGGCAATGTAGCACACTGATTGTTCATTTAAGCTGAAAATGTGACAGTACTGTATTAAAAAGATCTCTGAGAGATAGGAGCGAAGAAATAGATGACCTACAGATCGAGGGGGAATCAAGGGGGACAGAGCACCTATAAGATAAACGTATAAAAGACACACTTTTCTCCTGAAAACGCATAAGCCAAGCATTACACCAGGAGGATAACGAGTCAAGGTCAGAAGCAATATTTCGAAGGTTATAATCGACTGAGTAGGGAGAAAAGGCATAGAATCGTTTGAGGTCGTCATCGAATAGGAATGGAATGCCCTGTNCCTGTTTATTGGCACCAAAATAGTATTGATTCCCATCATCGAGAAAAGAAGACAAGAAATGCCCATGGATAATGCCACTAGTAACATCCTTTTCCTGAGAAAATTTGCCATTGATATTGACGATTTGTCTTTGATATGGTAGATAGAAAAAGATCCAGGAAAGAAGAGGATTTATAATATCATAAAATTTGGGATATAAGCAGCGAATAATGGACACAGTGGAAGGTAGGCAGATTATGATCATGGAAGTGTCTTTATCGGTTTCCCGAGTAATACTTTTAAAGAAATCACATTGACAAGCGCGTGATGGAGATTTAATAAAGCCATGTTGGCTATTGCTGGTGAGATTGTTTGCCATGAGAAAGAAGTGAGTTGATATTTTACTGCAGTCTGGAGACTGCTGAGGTATTATTTATTGGGCGGTAATTGGGTCTCGATAACATGCATACTTTCTCTCCCCCTTCTTCAGATAGGAACCTACCTAGACTGCTTCCCATTTCCGTCTTTCGTTCTAGAGATCTAATGCTGTCAGAATAACGGCGAGTTCTGTCGGATCGGACCAA